ATGGCATGAAAAGGTTGCTTAGACATACCCAGGTGCTGCCTATCTATTCTAAAGGAGCTTTGCGGGCTTTGCGGGCTGCTGATTGTGCAGTTTCCTGGAAAATTTCTGCTAATGCAACCCTCTGCATGCACAACAGCTATAAGCAAGGTGCGACAGTGTAAGGGTTATTCCAGCAGTCCGCTTTTCTGATACCTGAAAAAGAGAGTCCTGTTCCCTGTATCTGAAAAGGAAGCTCCAAGCAGTTGAGTTCAGGAAGTTGTCACACTGGGTGTTTCCTGAGCTTGAAATTTTGATCCTCGATTTCGGGAGGGCACTCTATAGTGGCACCGACAATCGAGCGATCATGGTCACAGAGGCTTGAAGATGATGCTAGATGACTGTACGAGCATTTGCTTGATGAAGCCTCTTGAAGGCTCAGTGCGAGCATTGTAGTTCTGCAGAGCTCGCATGGGGCACCACCATATCCTCTGCTACTAATGAAGAGGATGTCAACTTGGCCGGAAATATCTGGTCTGGAAATAAGTTGATTTATTCCATGTGTTAAACTTCACCTATGGAATAAAGTAAATGCGGTCATGTGCCAATGGCTATGACCTGGTAAATTAGTGAAATTCCCATCTTAAGGCAAACTACTGCAGCAGCCACTAAGAATATGGGTTTCACAACCTGACTGAAAGGAGAGCCTCAATGTACCTGTTGGTTCCAAATGGGGCTTAGGCAAGTGACCCAAGGACGGTACTTGGATCCAAAGATGGTAGGCCTATCTACCGGTACTTCACAGTAGGAGGTCAACAGATAAACCTGCCGTGCATCAGAGTGATTTTGAGGAAACTGTAGATCTATCATTGGAACCCTGATAGAGGACTACAATTATGGCTCATCGGTAACCCTGGACAGTAGGTGTCTGAAACTGGTGTGAAAGATTGTCAGCGAAATCCCAAATGAAGGTGCAGATGCAGATCGGGGATTGGCAGCTACTATCATACCCCATGGGGAATCAACTTGCATCTGACTGTAAAGACTGTAGCTTTCAGATAATGAAAGCATCCAGGCACAAAGATGGAGAGTACATGTAGCTGTGTCTGCGTGTAGAATTATTGTTGTGAGACCAAGGTGTGAGACCAAAGAGCTACATGTATGAAAGCTACAATTATTTCCATAACTCTGTCTATCAAATGCATGAATTCCTGTCGCTCGCGTTGAAGCTGAAAGATTCTTCTAGACCAGAGGACCATAGGATGAGTATAAACTTGGTGAAAGGCTGGAATTGGAAGCTGGTAGCCTGGAAGGGATGCAAATACATGTAGGTAGGTGCAAGTACCGGTAGCATTCTGAGAATGTTGAGGACCTTTATCTGAATACTGATGGGAGAAGAAATCATTCTGTTGGCGTGAATTCAATACCTTCTTTCTGGCCAAGTGGAACGTTAGAAGGAACAGCCAACTGGGTGGCTCTAAAGTGGACAGGCAAGAAGAAAGAGTGAGTTCCCCGGACAAAGCATGTAGTACACTACATCTGAACTGTGGAATTGTCCATCTGGACCAAGACAAGCTTGATTAGGACTTTGGATATGAGCAAATGCAAGGCCTTGAGCACTGTCAATAGATCAAGTTGAAGGAATGCAACTGGTTCTCTATAGTTGGCGAAGTACCTCGTACTAAATGACCATCCAGATGGAATCTCAAACCCTGTCCGAGGTACCCAATGCGATGGTAGAAGATGTAGTTACCCGGAACATTATCCTGAAAAGACCATCAGTGCAGTAGGTCATAGCTAAGATGGGTAACTGGAATCCCTTTGGAGATGACTCTTAGCTTAGACAAAGGAAAGGCTGCACAGAGCGCCTGTGTGTCATGCACCAGGGAACTAGGTCTATCATCAAGATGCCAGAAGGTTCTGATGCCATCACGACGTGTCTAACATTCCCAGTAATGCCTGAAAGTTGGAAAATGTTTCAAGGTAGGTCAGCTGTCGTGAAGGAGCTTGATACTGAAGATGAAAAACAACATCAAGTGCGAGTTAGGCAGACTGTGAAAGGCTGTACTGAGTACATGTAAGGTCTGTTACAGCCTATCATCTAAGTACAAGAGCAAATTGATCTGTTTCGCTGTAAAAGGAATGTTGCCACAACAGTGATTTTTATGAAGACCCAAAGGAGCTGTGAAAATCCAAAAGGTCTGTAGCGAAACCCTGTAGGTATGCGGAACTCCAACCTCTGATGATCCACGTATGGGTACTGTACAAGGACATTAGTATCCCAATGATTGATGGAAGCAGCAAACCAACCTGTCTTCAGAGACTGGAGGGAAGTAGAAAGCCTTTCCATCTGAATTCCTTTGCTGCATGTCAAAGTTTGATAATGGGCCACCATATGTCAGACTGCTACCGACTGAGAAAAAGGGTGAAGTAAGCCGAAACCCGTTCCAGTTGGAAGTATCCTGATCAGGCTGGGCCTGATCACCGCAAACAGGCTGGGCTCGGAAGGCGGTCCGCGCCGGGTCGATCCCCCAGCGCCGTGGACAGTCGAGCAGCTGGTTAGATTAACCAGAGTCATGTTGAGAAAACATCACGACGATGCATACATTGGATGAAAAATCCACAGTAGAATGGAATCTTTGTCTCGGAGTTAAAAAGGAACCCCCAAATCCTTCAAAGATCGACGAGTACCCATCAGTAACGCAAGGTCGCTTAACTGGTTAAGAAAGTGCGCCCTCTGTTGGGTAAAAACCACGTACGTGTGGCAACTCCTTGGGATTATTTTTTTCATTGTCTTGGGAATTCTTGGGAATTTTCCATTTTGATGTGTGGCCACGCTGCACCATGTGTCAATATTACATGGCATGGCAGTGCAGTGCATGCAGTCCCTATTAAGTTTCTCAAAATTTGAAATTTCAGTTCATTTAAATCCAGTGTTCACAATAAAAGTACATCAAACCTTATTACTTGTATTTTTAAAGTCAGAACATGATAAAATGTATAAAATATATGAAATACACGCAAAAGCCCACTTGGTGCTGAAGGCGATGGAGAAAATCTTGGGCTCGCCCAGAAAGCTTGATCATGGTGTGTACTTGCATATATAGTGTAGATGAAGATGGCGGTGGTCGGGTGGTGGTACCGGGCGGGCTGGTCGAATTACTGAGGGACCTTTGGGTATCGAACGCCAAGCCTCGCCTACCCGCAAGCACATGAGTGACGATCTCTGATTCTGCTGCTTGTGGACTGTCGAATGTGCGGGATTTTTCGGAAATCTTGCAGCGACTCTCGCTAGAGTGAAGTGCCTGTTCCCAGGGTATTTCCTACTGTCGAACCCGGGGATTAGACCCGGTCGTAGTGGCGGGATTTTCCTTCGAAATAACGACTTGAGCTAACAGTAACAGTTTTACTATTTTTGGCGGAGTCCGCCATGTTTTTTTTTTTTTTTTTACAGGCACAGCGAGTACGGTTAAATTGTACGTGTTGACGCTACGCGTCGCTGAAAAAACTTGTGTAACAGGGCTATTTAAGGGACATGTAGTGGGCGCGGAGGGTGAGGCTTGGGCGCTATTCTTTTCAGCGAATGTTTGTGCGCATGCACGCTGATATGTAAATGTAGGTAAACAGAGGTGAGATGTTTTCTGTAATGGAAACAAAAATACCACTTTGCTGGAAAATGACAGCACACCAGGTGCCACAATTTGACAGGATGCTTGTGTGCAAAAAAAGAAAGAAAAAAGAAACCTTAGTTTAATCTGAATTAGATACAATTTGAATTTTGAATGCATATTAATGAAAATTAATGAAATTTTGTTGAATTTGGCTGTTGGCAAAATTTATAATGCTCTTGGACGTGATTAAGCGAAAGGATCATACGAAATAATGTGAACATTCAAATATATTATTTATATGACTGTTGACCACCATCCCCCTTCCCCCCCCCCCTAAAAAAAAATAAAATGTGCTGCACAAATGTTAAGGATACCTGCAATACCAGACTAGTTTAGTCTTAATAAACATGTTTTGTATAATAAACAAAATATTTCTGTCATATTTTTTTCTTTATTGTCATTTGTTTGGCTTTTTTTTTTGTTCCCTCCGATATTTCTCCGAATGTTGTGCCCCTCCACTTTACACCCTGGAAAATCATGAATGAATGATGTGTGTCCAAGCTCAGGACAACGAGCCTTGTGTGACCCTGTGTTTTGTGCATGTTGTCCGACGTGAGTAAATCCTGAAGTGATTGTCCTACAAATTTTGAGTAAATTTGGTAACACAAGTTCAAGATGTTGACAAGATGTGTTGTGACAGGGTGAAGTAATACACCAAAAGCAGGCGAGAGCCATCACAGGTTTGCACATGTATTACCCTGAAAAGCACATTGTCCGTTAGTTCACATAATCGTAGGTTTTGCACAGCGCCCCCCCCCCCCCCCCCCCATTTGATTGAATGGATGCAAAGTGTCCAGAGAGAAAAAACATGTACGGGTTCAACAAACGGTTTATGTCTTGTGGCCGCAAATGATTCGGCCATGCGGTTTGCCTGTGTGTGTCTGTGTAGTTTTCCTCTGCAATGTTTTGACTGGCCGCAGTGACAAGATTGTATTCATTTTTACGAAGCCATTCTTGTGCACAGAGAATGGGTAAGTCAATAGGGAGCCGATTCTGTTAGAGCCAGAACAGAGCATAGAGGGTACCCAGTTCTCATGTTGGATCCTGGGAAATTCGGGTACCCACCAGAATTGTGCCATACTACCATGCATGTACCATCGATCAGCATGCATGACGACGTTCTTAACGTGAGGTCATGTCTTCGATATCCACGGCATTCGGTGCAAGGGGGTATGTTGCTGTGCAGGAAATTTTTAAATTGTAATAGTTAAAATTACTCAAATTCGCAAAATATAAATGTGTTGTGGTGGTATAGCTCCAACATATTTTTTTTCTTCATCTAAATAATATTTTAAGTTATATTGATGGTATCCTATAACTGCTGAATGTATCCTCTGATATTTATGTACATACCTGTGTTTCTCAATGCCCAATTCTTTCAAAAGTTTCTCCACAATCTCCACTCTCATTACTGCCATCTTAGCTTGAGTTGTTCCTTTAAATGGAGTAACAAAGTGGTGGGGCACACAGTGAAGAGGTCGCACTTCCTTATACATAGCCAGTTCGCTGATGAAGTCAACATTAGCTGCTTTTAGTCTAGCATTCTATGGATGAAAATTTTGAAATAGAATAAAGATAAGCACAAGAATTTAGAATGAAATGAAACTATGACAAAGCCGGCCTCCTCTGCAAAAGTTAGAATCTCTGTTCTGGAAAACTGACAAAACTTACAGTTTCCATGAATACACTATACACCATAAATTAATTTTGGGGTGCTCAATTTGGTCCAAAAATCAAGCAGTTGGAGCACTACTAGCGTTCCAGTCACACACATATTATTTTTTATTACTGTTTAAAAAACGTGTGCACTGGGATGGTTATGTGTTCAAGTATGAAACTTGTGCGGACCCTGATATCACATGAAGTGTATTGTTATTTTTGTAATATGCATTTTATGTGGAACCAACTTCATGTTGAACATTTTTTAAATTTGAAGACTATATTCACTGCTGGATACACAAACATTATATATAAGGCAAAACAAAACAAAAATAGTAGCGGTTGTAGGAACAACCACACGGTGATGGGTTATATTTGTGTTGATGGCAAGAAATTTAGGAAAAGTTTGCTAAAAACACTGGCAGTCTAAAATGACAGAATTTTCAAAGGCAAGTCAATGCTTGTAAAAAGCAAAATCAGATCTCTCACAGTTGACTTTATATTGATTTCAAAGATTACTCATGTGGTCTCAACATCTATGCACGCCTATGGTGCTGTAGTGTAAACTTATCAAGTAATCGTAAAAAAAACCTTTAAATAGCTCATATCTCTAAAAGTAAAGGTCGCACACCATTGGCGCAATACAAAATATTGCTTGCCTCACCATCTTTACCCCAATGTGCAGGTTTTTAGAAAAAAAGTGCCCAATTTTTAAAATGTTGCAAGCCCAAATTTTGAGTCTCATATGACGTCATCAAAAGTAAAAAATGTGCTTCTGTTAACAAGTTGTCATATAAACATGTACAAAACACTGATAAATACTTAAAAATACATTGGTCCATCAAACAGCCATTACATGTGGCTCAATAGTTAACAGAAAAGTCTTTAAAACAGAAACTCAAGGGGCGAGCACACTGGCGGAGAATTCCCTTATGTACGCAATGATCCCCATTTGCTGTATACCCATTTGCTGTATACATGTACTTACAATACAGTACAATACAGTACAATGTACATGGCATTCAATGAACGTTTAAAGGCGTGTGCATTGTCAACTTCGAATTTCAAGGGAGCTGCAGGGCATCTCCAAGTTTACTTATTGTAAGGAACCATGGGGAAATTTTAGACTAGCTATTTTTAAAATGTCATTTAAAGCACAAATCGAGACTCAATCTCTCCAGTTGATTTTCCAGGAATTTTCAAAGGAAAAGAGGCCTGATGATGTAATCAATTTTTCTTTGCGCACAGGTCTCGTTTATATTAAGGTCATTGTATACATATATTTGAAGTGATTACGGCAATTTTGCCACTCACATCAACTGAAAATGCATTTTTGATATTTTTAACCTCCTGCTAGAGGGCGCTCCAACATTCCGTGACGTCACCAATAATTTTGTTGTAAAGTTCAACATAGGCAGAGACTAACATCATTGAAAGGAAGTTCACATCTTTTCTCAGTTTCAAATTATTAGGCACTTCTGGTCTCGACGGGGAGGGTCAAGTGATTTTAACACCCATGAGATAAAATGAAGATCATGTATCACTCACTCACTCACTTACTCGGTCGCCCACAGGCAGACTCGAGTATGGCTTTTTCAAGTAATTCGGTCCCGCATGAGGGTGGCCAAGTTCATCTGTTGATTCTGGTGTCCTTTGGCAGTACCCCGGTGTAAGACGTTTTTGGTTTTTCCTCACCTCCTGTGCCCGCGGGTTGTTTTCCAGAGAATGACTTTGTGTGCCTCCAGCTCCGGGTGCCGGTAACAGTGCCCTGCTAACTGCATCGCAATATAGGTGGTCACTGGTTATGTGGTTCTCCCAGGATACATTGAGCGCCACTCAGAGCATGCGTGTGTAGCATCCATTGAACGACTTCTCCATCGTAGGAGTTAGAGTCCATGTTTCGCATCCATAGAGAAGCACTGACTCGATGGTTGCCAAGAAGAAAGAGATTTTTACGTTGCGGCTAATGGTGGAGCTCCCCATTTTTTTTAATGTCAGCCAGTGCCCTCCATGCCTTTCCTTTCCTGACCTTGATGTCCTGGTCACTAGAGTTGATCCATGCGCCAAGGTACTTAAAGTCAGGGACCTCATTCAGCTGTCTACACTTCAGCGTCTTCAGTGGAATGTGTTCGGGTGTGTTGTTGGTGGAATACTCCATTTTCTTTGCTTTGAGCCTTAGTCCTACCTTCAAGCATTCTGCTTTTACAAGGTGTAGAAGTACTTGTGCCTCCTCAACTAGATCAGACATCAGTGCGATGTCATCAGCTAAGTCGAGATCCGTTTCTGTGACCGCTAGTTGCCTTCTAGATCTTCTCGGAGTGAAAGTGAATCCGAGCTCGGACTCTCTCCCACTGATGGCTCTATCAAAGGCTTAGTCGAGAACGATGATAAACAGGAAGGGTGCTAGGGTGTCACCTTGGAGCACTCCGGCTGTCATGTCGAACCAGTCAGTCTCACCATCCGGAGTAACCACCTTAGCACGTGAGTTGGCGTACATTGACTATGGCACGGAGTAACAGGGGAGGAACCCCGTAGGCCTTTAAGATTCTTATCATTTGCCTTCTTGAAATCGATAAATGTGAGGGGTAACACGTGCTACCTGCCCTTCCTTTGCTTTCCTGCACCCAGTTATTTCGTTGATGACCTTCCAGGCCTCGCGGTAGCATGCTCCACCATGCTCCGCCTCAATTCCTTTGGGTCTTCTCATTGAGGACCTCTTTGTTTAGTCTATCATAGGTGTAGAATAAATGCTGTTTTGCCACTTTATGAGCTTGCTTGTTCTCTTCAGTCTGGTCATGTATTATCAAATCAATTCCAGTAAAATTCAAGTTCAGGTCTCTCACAGTTGATTTCTTATTGATTTTCAAAGATTAAATTTATTGATCTTTCAAGTGACGTCATTTGACCCATCATAATGATGTTATTACAAAAAAGCACATCTTCAGTGACTTGTGCATTGAAGTTCATATGTGTTATCATTTTGACAAACAGTTCTGGCAACGAATTTGTCTTGGAGAATAATAACAAGAATAGTGAATTCTTACAATAAAAACCATAGCCATAGCCCGACACCCAGGCCTGTCGCCAAGGGGGGGGGGGGGGGGGGGCCTGGTGGGACCGGGCCCCCCAGCAGGGGGCGATCACTTGGCCCCCCAGCAGGCAAAAGCCATACATGTGTATTTTGTATTTGTTTTATGGTACTGAGCCCCCCTACATGCCCCCCCCCCCCTCGGATCCGCGCCTGTTACTTCCAAATTATTAAATCAATCAATGACAAGATCACCAAAAAAACCTTATGTTTAATCAATCAGTTAAATAACTTTCAAATTAATACATCAATCGATGACGAGGATAATAAAAACACATACGTTCAATCAATTAATTACATGACTTTCATTACAAAATCCTAAAAACACCGTTCAATCAATCACATGCTATCAATTTTCTCCAAGTGTGTTATTATGTTCAATTCGGGTACTTCCCTTTTACCAACTTCTACAAACTTTTAAGAGTTGGAGTTTCTGTTGTCTGAGGGCTCGCAAGACTGTGTGGCACAACTCACAGGACTTGGCTACACCTCAGTAAATACTCTACATCTACAGCACTCCGATGGTAGACTCCTTCTCTAGTCAGTGTCAGAGTCAACAGGGGAACACTCTCAACAAAAAGCCCTCTGTAATTCTGCTGTGCAGCTTTCTTGGGCAGGCGAACTGTTGTCGGGAAATGTCAAAGATGACCGAGACAGTTTAAAGGCTGGAATTCGGCCTGAACTTGCCAAATTATAGATATGGAACTGCATTTCCGTCTCTCGTCCCATAGGGTTCAAACGGATCCACAAAAGCTATAAATCTGCTGTTCTCAGATCTCTGATGCAAGGGATGTTACAACCGGTCTCTCAAGCACACGATCGCTCTCCAAAACTCTGTCTTTTTTCGACACAAGTCAAAATGTCTTCTGCCTCTCTATCTCTCTCACAACAAAACGAACTCCAACATACCACACACAAAAAGCCCGAAATGGTGTTTCCGAAAAGTACAATACGATCTATCTTTACTAACTGGATGATTTGTTCAACAATTAGGTGGGCATTCTCTGACAATTATCATGGCCTTGTACAAATGCTGTTGCGTAAGACAGGGCGGCTTTTTTAACACTTCACGAACGCCTTAGCTCTAAGTGACTGAGTAAAGTCTATGCGGGACTGACTGACAAGTTATTGGTTAAAAACTTTCGGACAATTTCATTTATTCCGGGGGTGCACAGGTATATACAAAATAAAACAATAATGAGCAGACCACAGTAAAAGGATGATCGGGAAAAATAATTCTACACTTGTCAGTTGCACTGACACATGGCCCAAAACCCAAAAAAATCTTGACATGTTTTTGCAGGTAATTAAGCACAGAGCTGTTTTAGCAACAATTTGGTGAGGGCACATAGATTCACTTGAAGTTTTATCCAGGTCAGGTTTGTAGTTAAGTAGATATTGCACCTAGTGTAAAATTGTATATTGTATTTAATGTAAAATGCAAAAAAAAAGTGGATTCATTTTTTTTTTTTTAATTCATTGCAGTATTTAATATTAAAAATTACAAATTAGCAAGTTCCACTGGAAGGCTACAAAAATAACTCCCGACAAGAGCATGGACGAGGCAATAGCCCCTCCTGTAACTCTGCAGGAACAAACAAAAAACACACACAATTTACATATAAGAACAAAGTACAAAACATACAAACATAAATTTAAATTACATAAAGAAAGGGGGACACTTCACGCCAGCATGACAGGATAAAGGGGTTGTTAAAAACATGGGAAGCAAAAAAGAAATAACTTGTGTAGGTGAACAGTAAAAAAGAGGGCGGGGTGTGATAAACATGGGGGTGA